TCACTGGAGGATTTGGGGAAGTATTTGGTAAAGACTATAAAAGAGTATACTGCTGGTTCCACGTTATTTTAAACGTCGACAAGAAGCAATCCCTAGTTAAGGACCGAGCAATTTGGCAACAGTTAAGGCAGGACATAAAAAAGCTTCAATTAGCTCGGTCTCCTGAGGAGTTTGAGGTCGGGAAAAGTTTATTGATAAAGAAGTACTCTGTTGATGTAACTCAAGATTTTGTGAATTACTTCCGAGATGAATGGATAAACAGCCGAAAAAACTGGTATGAAGGGTACGCTCCTGGATACCCGTCCACTAATAATGGGCTTGAGTCAACCAATGCTTGGATAAAGCAACAAGGCACCTTCAGGGCAAGGTTGCCAATGGGAGAGTTCATCTCCTTCATGTTAAGCCAAGCCAAAGATTGGTCGGAGCAGAGGGACCCTACAAATGAGAATCATAAAACATTTGCAGAGGTTCCTACTATCTCGCTCAGACTTGAGACCGATGCTTTCAATTGGAACAAATCAAAACCAAGCACAAGGTATAAGACATCTGAAGATGAAGCTGATCTTAGGCATTATTTCGTCGCTGCTTCGGGTCAACCTCCTTTGAAAGAGGACGATGTAAAAAAGTACTTGCGAATGAGTACTAACAAATCTTGGAGAAGTTTTGACTCGTACGTGGCAAGTACAACAAGATTATGGATGGTTAAATTCCACACCTCCCAATGGATGGACTCTACATGTTCATGTCCCGTTTATTTCAAAGAACATGTTTGTAAGCATTTACTTGGTTTAGCAATTCAGAATATGCTTTATGATGTTAGACCGGAAGCCAAGACCGTTCCATTGGGTGAAAAGCGCAAAAGGGGTAGGATTGCTAAAGCTAGGAAAGCGCTAATTGTTATTTAATTCAAGCTGTATTTTAAAACAAGACGTGAAAGATTATAAATAAATCATATTATTGTAAATTATATTGCTTTTCCAACCCGATGCTCATATTAACGTTATGAAATACGATAATGGCTGTTCATCTAAATTTATGGTAACCATCATCTTAATAGATGGCTAAAAAGGCTAAAGTTGGAAGAAATTCATCCGATGGCAAATTCAGCTAAAATTTGTGGCAAATTTCATCTAATTCGGTGGTGCATTAAATTTAACCCAAATTTAATAATCTAAACAGAACAAATTTTATTTTATTTGACCAAATAAGTATGCATAAAAACACGAATCGTAGGAATACGTTAAAAATCATGTATTTTGGCTAGCATGCCACGGGGCCCCCAATTTTGTTAAAAATTATTTATCTGGCAAATATACAGAAATTTTTCACGTGCAAAAATTATTGGAGCCCTTAAATAGTACCTTTTTCGTTTACATCTACATTATCTACGTATATTTATATGTAGCTGCTTAACCACTTGCTCGTGGTTTCGCAAACTACTTGGATCATGAGTGCATACATACCACCAATTAATTCCAGTTTGCGTTGCTGTAGTACCCGTGAATTTATTTTTAGAAATTCGCTGGCAACGCTTGTAACAATTTACGGCCCCGCTGCGTAAGGGCCCCTACGCCACAAATACCTCACCTCCCCGCACTCTTAGCAACTTGGTAACAAAGCCCGGAATTTCGTTAACACCAACCGTCGGTGTCAACCTCAATTCCATTAACTGGTGTCAAAATGTTGTGAAAAAATGACACTGACAAGGGAACCTCAACTACTGTCCCATCTCGATTTCCTTCGTAATAGCCTTAATCGACAGATAATTTAATGAAACTAAAACTTTGTCATAGAACATGCGGTGCAAAATCGCGTTTTCGCGAAATATTTGGCGAAAGCTGCACCAAAACCTGCATTTTCCCAATGCTTTTAACATAGCCCCCAGCCTTTCGATTGATCAAATGAACTTTATAGGATATTGAAAACATATTTATATACCCGTCCGCGCAATTTCAGCCCGATCACGAATATGCAAAAAGTGATCCAGACATTTGCCAATTATTTGCAAATTGCGAAAATCAGAAAAATTTCGCAAATTTGAATTCTTCGTTCCTTAAATTCAACAAAATTTTTTAAAATTCAACAAACTAATGTAAAATGCAATTTTCTTATTGCAAATAATTTGCAAAAATTTGCAAAAATCGAAGTGCGCAATTTTTCAGTTTCACTATACAAAGTAAGAATTATCATTTACATATCTATGCATGTACGAATGAAGTAAAAGCTAATTTGTTTAACAACTAAAAATCACACCACACATTGCAATTGCAATTTTTTGCAACTTGCAAAAATAAATATCGCAAATAATTTCCAAAAATACGTAAAAATAGACTTGCAATGGTTATTTTAACCTCTTAACGACGAAGTACACACATTTGTGTAGTTATTTTATTTTCCGTTCACGGCGAAGTACACACATTTGTGTAGTATTTTATTTTTCCGTTGACGACGAAATACACAAATGTGTGTACTGCAGAAATTTCCTTGACACCAAAATTTCTTTAAAAAAAGAATATTTCTTCGGTATTTTGTGGAAAACTCGATGGTGAAAAGTGGATTTTTTTCGATATTTTTCACCCAAAATTTTGGAATTTTCCCTATACCGACCAATGTTAAAAAATGTTTTTTTCGTATTTTTCGTCATAAACTCGAATATTGCAAACTGGTGGAAAATTTTAATTGGTTGCTATCAGGTATAATTATGAAATCAAAATCGTACCGAAGGGAAATTTTATTTAAAAATCAGTAGTACGAAAGAGGTTAACTAATTTTCATGAAAAATTGCAAACTTCAATTTTTGCAAATTTTTGCAAACTTTTTGCAATAAGAATATTGTATTTTGCATTTTGCAACTTGTTAATTTTGTTCAATTTAAATGAACGAAGAATTCAAATTTGCGAAATTTTTCTGATTTTCGCAATTTGCAAATAATTGGCAAATGTCTGGATCACTTTTTGCATATTCGTGATCGGGCTGAAATTGCGCGGACGGGTATATAAATATGTTTTCAATATCCTATAAAGTTCATTTGATCAATCGAAAGGCTGGGGGCTATGTTAAAAGCATTGGGAAAATGCAGGTTTTCGTGCAGCTTTCGCCAAATATTTCGCGAAAACGCGATTTTGCACCGCATGTTCTATGACAAAGTTTTAGTTTCATTAAATTATCTGTCGATTAAGGCTATTACGAAGGAAATCGAGATGGGACAGTAGTTGAGGTTCCCTTGTGAGAAAGAAAAATGCGTTGACACCCTACCGGTATCGGCGATATCTTCCAATGGTGTCGAATTGACACGGAGCGATGTTACCGCAGTAAGCAAAACTTGGACTTAACACAAAATTGTGTCACTCTTCCTTGTGCACGGGTCTCCTTGGCGGCCATTTTCCTTCCTTCTCCACAAAAAAGTCCACAAAATAGATAAATTAATTGGTGTGTTCAATTGATTTCGAGGGAGAAAATTGTTTTTTAATAAGTTTAAGGACTACTAAGTACTTTCAATTTCTTGACTCGGGTGAGTTAATATATGTAACACATATTAACTTAATTACAATTATTTTACTGTGTGTATTTTTATTTTTGAAAACTTATTTTTTCCAGTGCAGCTAAAATTCAACGCTGGACCTAACGAGGGAGCCAAAATTGACGTAAAACGATTTATCCACCCGGCAACCTATTTAATTATTATTAAATCTCTCTTGCAAAGTTAATTGAATTTAAGGATTTACTAATATTCTAGATCACCGTGTTACATACATATTAGCTTTTTCTGTAAAAGTGCATAAGGTATGAAGAAAAAAATATTATTTAATTTGTGCGAGTGTAATAATTTGTTGTTTATGAATATGTTTGAAATACTTGTTTGATTTTTTCACTGCTTAATATTATTGAATCTAAAATAAAATATTTGTTACTAAAAATTGTAGTTCAGTTGTCACAATCCGGAGACGATTTGTCACTGGGTGGTGACAAGCATATATCAAAATGCACATATATTGTTACCTAGCAATGTCGAATCAACATAACTGAGCACAACCTCATAGCCAATCGCGGTGTTGGCATTGTCACAATGGCATGTTGACTGACACCGCAGCGGTGTGGAACATAATTGACACCGCGTCGTGTCAATTTGACACCAAACCGGTAGAGTAATATATAGACACCGGCATGGTGTCAATTCGGTGTCGATTTTTCTGTGAGTGCGGTTTACCCGGCACTGCACCGAGATGACGCCAGGCTGGGGGCCCCCGCGCAGCGGGAGCCCCTAGGTGTCACCTATGCCACATACCCGGTTTACCCGCCACTGCATGAGGGTGAGGGCGTCAATTTGCATATGAGGGTGAGGGCATTAGGGTGAGGACGTGTATGTGTTCGATAAAACGCTCACCTGGGGTTACATGTTACAAACATGTTTAATCCGAATAGGGTAACGTTACTTCGGATGTTCGGCTAAGTTCACGTATGGCTTCGGATAACTTCACGGACATCGATGGTTGGTGGTGGTGCTTCGTACAGCTGATGGGATTTTAAGTATGTATTGATTTCCTTCCTGCCTTCATCATAACCATAGGGCGGATATGTATGTACTTAAATTCCTCAAAATATGTATGTAATATGTGCTTAAAAAACAGGAAAATATGCATATAAAACATATTTGTCTATTGCAATTTTCTACTGTATTTAAATTTAATTGTCCAAAACTTTCAACTTTTTAACACTCTTATAAACGAATTATTAAATATATCATTTTAATCTTCATCTAATGACCCATAATGCGACATTAGTTACATTTGGAGATTTTCAGGGGTAATTTTTTGACTTGAAAAATGGGGCAAACTGGATTTTCTAGTAGTTCACATGAAACCACCCTCATGATTATCATGATAATCTAATTTTGACAAAACTTTAATTTCTCAATAAAGAAAAATATTTTCACATAAAAAACCTCGAAATATGTATTCAAATATTTATTTTTAGAAAAAGGCTCGAATATGTAGGAAAATATGTGTATGTGCGAAAAATAACTCAAAATATGTATGAAAATATGTATATGTACGAAAACCCTAAAATATGTGAAATATGGAAAACAATGTTTGAATTTTTGAGATCACGCTTCGATGGGATGACAGTACACAAAGCTTTAGTACGATCTGATTTGATATGAAAAAGTTAGAAATACATACATATCCGCCCTCTGATCATAACAAACCGTCCGGATTTTTTAGCAACCGACAGAAATATTCTTGTACAATTAAATAAATCAGTAAATAAATCAGTACATTTGCGCATAACTTGCGGTAAGATATTTATTATTTTTATTTATATCTGTGAAAGAATCTTATTCGCAGGGTATGAATTGTTTTTGTTTTATTTCACGTTGTTGTTAATTATTATCTACAACATAACGTATCTATTTAGTTATTCCGATCATGTTTAAAAAACAAATAAAATAATTTTTGTTTATAAACATATTAGATGGAATCCAACAATTCAGATGAGGCTGAAAATGACAACTCTACATCATCCTCCTCATCACATCCTGAGTACCACCCACCATCACCAAAAATCCCTAAAATGGCGGACCCGGTTACAGAAAAATTGCTGAAATATCTTGACCAATTCGTGACCCTGGTTAGAACAGGGGAATTTGTGGTTGACCTAAAACTAGAAAATATGCCGGATTTTGAACTTGAGCTGAAATTAATTGAGGTATGTAACTAATAATAATTAGTTATCTTTAAAGTTTTCTACTTATTTTGTGTGATACCAGGTATTTTATAGGTTTAATGTTTGTTGAAATGATTATATTGTTTATGACGGATTTCCGTAATCAATAATGCTCCCGTATTTTGTGTCATATTGTTGCAAATGTTTGCAATTTATGTATCAAACCATCTATTTTCCCCCGTTAGACCGGAGAAGTTTTGAAGTTCCCAATATCACCGGAAGAGACTTTCACAATTAAGGAATTATTGGCGTCAAAGATTGAGGTAAGGTTACTGGTACTATATGATTACTCTGGATCAATTCTTGAACTAATTGCTGAATAAAATAAATATCATTTCCTACTCAAAAATAATTTGGATTTAAGTTAATTACTTAGTAACGCTTTGTTTTTTCTGACAGACAACTAACCCCCTAGATTGGTCAAGACTGGAGGAAAAGATGCTAAATGGGGTCAAGGCTCAGTTAGGTTTGGAGACCGAGCGGATATCCGTTTCCTTGCAGAAGTTAATTATCCAGAAACCTGGAACCCCACGTCCCCCAGAACTTAACCAACTACACAACAGAGATGAAGTATCGGTAACAAGTTTTGGTCATGTCGTCATCCAGCTGCCATCAATCTACACGGGAGGACATTTCCGCTTCAGCAATGAGGAAAAAAGGCAAGAATTTAACCTTTCCACCCCCACTGGAGATGTCCAATGTCTTGCATTCTTCACTAAAATTGAACATGACCCAATTCTGACTGGGAGTAGGACTCTCTTAATCTACAATTTGGTCATAGAATCCAAAATTAACTTTTTACCGGAAGCTCCCGCCGTCCAAAATAATGTACCAAGTCTTACCCAAATCATTCAAGAATGGAAGGGAACCCAGGATCTGGTAAAAGTAGTAAAACATTCGAACAGGAATCTCAAACTTGCCGCGGTTTCCAATTTTCTCCTTGATGCTCTTCAAGCCAATCAGATCACTCTGTTCCACGGGAATTTTACTTATCCCGAAGGATCCCAAGAAATACAAACTGAAAACGTTGTACTCCCCGAATATTACCAAATCGACGAATTGAAACTATTAACAAGTCCTGACCCCCAGGTGGAGGAAGCATACCGCAATTTTTACAAGACGAAGAAAACAACGACAACCCCGACAGCTACGGCGTAGCATTTCATCTGACATGGGGTGACCACGTGGAAATACAAATGTTGCGGGAGCAACGAGACAATATCGATGAATCCAGTGTGGACATGTACATTTTTTTCCTGGGGGAAAACGTTTTCCAAAATAGCCGTTGGATTAGAAATTTTCCCTTTTGGCGATTTCAGACTTACTTGTTCCCAACGAGGTATCACAATGTGGAAAAAACTCCCGAATTGCTACACGATGCTAACAATCTGGTTTTGCCGGATATTTCTGCGCAGCAATTAATGTATAAAGACGAATACGATGACTGCTTTAAAAACCTACCTCATTTTGAGAAAGTTCTGAATAAATTCATCCAACTAGAAGATTCCGACCTTTTGCAACAATTTATACAAATTTGCCACAAACACTCAGATTATAACAAGTTGTCCCCCCTACTTTTAAAAGCTGGGATTTCGCCAACCATTTTAAATAAATCGTTAAAAGATTTCTTCAACCAGGATAACATCCAAGACGGGGAAAAGTTTTTGCACAATCTATACGATTTTGGCAGCCATGTTAAAGCCTTTACTTTTTACGGGGATAAGGATACAGCAGAAATATATTATGAGGTATTTACTTCAATTCTTGAAAGGTATGAAGAGATGGTGGAAGATGAAGATGATTATGCCGAGCAATACGTTATGGACTACTTGGCTGAATTCTTTCGAATATCAGAAAAAATGGGGTATAATTTGTTCAACTTTATGAAGTACAGGCCTCCTAACGTCGTACAAGCAGGATTGTTTGGGTGTACCTTAGACCCGGTAGAGTTTGAACTAGGAGTCGTGTTTATCAGACCGGTCACGGACTTGTATAGTTGCACGAGATTGTTTGACGATTGGACAAAGGAATATGAAAATTGTTTAGAGGAGGTTAGATTTCTGACATATTTTTTCCAACTAGTGGAGAAGGTTGGGGCCGATATTAAAGGGCTTTTAGGCGATGTGAAAAAATACAGAAATTTGGTAGCGGCGCTGTCAGAAGTTTCAAATTTGGAAAGTGTGGATGACTCTGAGGATGGAGCCCTTCCCAAATTTTGGGTCCCGTTTGCCACTAGTTTAGCGGCAAGGATTGAAATTTTATTGGATTCCGAAGGGAATAAAACAGGTCATGATGGATATTTGGGTAGCGTGGGAAATAATTTTGGTGAGGGTTTATACGTCGGGAGATACACGCTGGACGAGATAAACAAATTATTGCTCTCTGCGAAGAGAACTTAAATGTGGAGAAAATCCTGTAATATTAAGAATTCCGTTTTAGTATAATGATGTAAAATAAATATAATCTATTCTCCAAAATATTTAGGCAATTATAGAGAGTATGGGGGAATAAAATCCCTAGTAATCATTGTTTACTAATCAAGCTCAATTAAGGGCAATTAAATAATGTCGCTATGTTTTGGACAAGGACGAATTCTTGTTTTGCACAATCATCATGCGGCCATTTATTTTTCAAGATTGATGTAAATAATTTGTTCCTAGTAATTATACTTTCATTCTCAAATAATATTTTCGACGGGAATGACATGGAAAATATGAAGTATTTATGTGCACCTTTAATAAATACATGGTTACGAATTACCAAGCCAAATTATCGGCTTATGATACCTTCTTCCGCAGTGCCCAAACTTGTCTGGAAAATATTTGAGAATGAGGGTATAATTGCTAGGAACAAATTATTTACATCAACCTTTAAAAATTAACGGTTCCATGATGATTGTGCCGTACAACAATTCGTCGTTGGCCAAAATATAGCGAAATTATCTATTTAATTATCCTTAATCCAAGGCTGATTCATACTGTACATTTTCTTATAAATACTGCAATTAATATCCTTATGGAACCGTATGTATCTGTAATTTAGTGAATTGAAAGGTACTTGTAGTAGTCATAGAGGTTTGCATCTAATACTGAGTTACCAGTTCACCTTTGGGACTCCAGTTTGATAAGTTTAAAAAAATATATATATGTAAAAATATAAATTGTAGTCTTATTTTTCATTCCTTTCATCCAATCTCTACATATGATATACGAGCATAATTAGTTATTCATCTTGGCTTTTGAATTTAAGTTTAAGCACCTATCTGCTCCAATGATTTTGACAAAGAAAGCACTACTAGCTTATGCTGGCGTCTTAAATTATGGAAACTACGGGTTCATTCCTTTTCGATTTGACATCAGGAACTGGAAACTAGCAATAAAATCATCGAAATATTCAACATATTTATACCTATTCAACATTTGTCTGCACATTTTTCAACTGCTTTATTATTCGACGCAACTTTGGATAGAAATTTACGATAAAAATGTGAAAGACTATGCCCAGATATTTTGGCTGTTCATATTTCTCATGGTTATCGGATGGATGACGGTGGAATCTCTGAGCAAGTGGGTGTACCGGTATGAATTTGCAAATTATTTCAATTGGATAATTTCACTAGGCCCCTTCTTTAACAAAGGTAAATATGCATGTGCACATGTACAGGGTGGTTTAAATGTCAGGTTACCATGGAAAATTTTTCAATGGGAAAAATTCGCAAATATCCATTAGTTACCGAAATTTTGCCTCTGAAATTCAATATTTTAAGAGTTTTATCATCAGTGTTCCATAAGTTTTCATAAAAATTAATATAAATCTCAATCCCAAATCCGTAACTAATGGAAATTTACGAATTTTTCCATTGTAAAATTTTCCATTGTAACTTGACATTTAAACAACCCTGTACAAAAGCAGAATCTGTATCTGTAGGTTACTATTAAATACATTATTATATAATTTTTGATAAAATGCAATTAATAAAAATGTCCACTTCACATTTTCAGAGTTGAAAGAGACAAGAAATGCGGATGGATCTGAAATTGACGTTATCCTCTGTATTATCGTGTTCTATAGGTCAATTGGTTATCTAACTTGCTTACTCCTAACTGGAATTTTCGTCATTCAGCCACAATACAAGCAATATCTTTGCTCCGTTTTGTTAAAATGGATTGACAATTACGACATGCCATCTGTGCTAATCTGTCTCCCCCTCGAGTTTTATATACAGTTCGGTTTTACTACTCAGGTCGCAATGGGTCAAGTTGGAGTGATGTCAATGTTTCTGTATTTCCTGCTCAAATTACTTCGTACGATAAGGTGGGAGGTGGCATTGTATTCACTTAATTATTTTTCTAATGACTCACATCTATATTATAAGCTGGAAATGTCTATGTGTAATGGAAGTGAAAGTAGTTTTCGGAAACGGGATTGGAAGTAGAGAAAGTTAAGTTCCGAATGGCGTGAAAATTCAAATACTAAATGTCTGATGGTAGTTATCTTGTGAGTGTTTAGTGGTTATCTGGGGTTACTGTCTGATCGTGGTTATTTGGGAGTGTTTATCTTGGGTGGTTATCTAAGAATGCTTGTATGCTGGTGGATATATGAGTGGTGTCTGACTCACTTGGAGTGACCAACATCGATAATATCAAGCATTTCTCGATATTCTCCATATTCAGATAACCATGTCAAGATAACTACCTTAAGACATTTAAGTTTCTAAATTTAAATTTGCGTGCCATTCGACCCTAACTTTCTTTACTTTGCACACGTTCGTTACCGAGAGACAATTCCAGCTTATAAACCTCTCTCGCCCGGCGGGAGACGGGCTTAGATACTCGCTATGATTTAAGAATATATATACTTTATGGGGTCTGGGACCACCCGCTGCAAGTCTAGTGGGGAAAGAACTAAAATCTGCAGTTGTCCAGAATTTAACACAGTAGTGGATTGGGAGCTAACACGGAAGCACAGATGGGAAAAACTCAAAAATATTCTCCCGGGTCTATATTTGCATGAAGTGGTCCCAGACCCCATAAAGTATATATCTAAATCTACTCGTCAAGACCTTTCCAACGATACCCCATTTATGTTGCTCCGTGACCTTTGACATTGTGACCTTTCGGCCCCCGGAAAAAGGTCACGCTGGCCAATTTCGACTTTTTGGGTAATTTAACTTTTGTTTGACCGCAAAAAATCTACACGATATCAAAGATTGAGGCAAATCTAGCCAACGATCATTTCGCCATACTTTTTGAGTGATCTACAAATAATAATTTTTATGTAATTTTTGCGTCGTTGCGGAAAACCCCTGAAAGTTGGAATTTGAACGTAATTCGAAAAACACCTGGGGGTACTGATCCAAAGAGTGTAACACAAAAATAATTTTGAATTTTCATCCACCCGTTCCAGCGATATCTTGCGCCGACTTTTCATCATTTTCAAATCCAATAATGCCCCCACCCCCCGGGGAAAATTTTGACCCCCTAAATTTTGGTCAAACCATAGTATTTTCATATGGGGGAACATAATGTAAGAGATAATTTTCACTTTTGAAATACATACTTGGCGGATTCCTTTGTCGAATCCTATAATTCTTACTCATAAGTATGCGTCGTAGAAATATCGCAGCAGTTTCTGTTTTTTGTTAAATTTCCAGAATCAGTTCAACACTTACAACAAAGGAAAAGCTGCAAAAACTAACAATGCTCCATATTTCCTTGAAAAGCTACACGTCCTGCTGTTGGGCCGAGCTTCCTTCCATGATCATATTCTTGGGCTTTATTAGCACAGCTGGGATTGTCGCGTCGATCCGATTTTACGGCATAATTCGCATCATTGACTACATCGCTGTTTGTGACACATATAACGCATTCTGGGTTCCTGCCATTGTTCTCCACTTTGTCGGGAAAATACCTCGCGAATGTGAGAAGCTCTTGAGGATGGAGACCTTAAAAAGGAATGGAGAAATAAGCAGGGACAAATTTTGGAGTCGAAAAATAGCCAGTTTTCCTATCATTGGATTTCGCGGAGGGCCAGTTAACATGTTGAGATGCAACTCGATGTTTTATTTTATATTGTCAGCAACTAATTGGATTGTAACAATGCTTATGATTTTTCCGGAAATAAAGTAAATTATTCAGCTACTATGTAGATAAATTAATATAAAGACATATGACTAGGTTCACATAAACCGGTACATGGTGTGTGCAGAGTTGTCACAAAACTAAAAACGCTCTTACACGTGTTCAATAGAATTAAAAATTAGTGTACACGTGTAACAGCGTTTTTTCTCATTGTGCCCCAAATTTTTCATATCGCCACAAATACTGGAAAACATCATTGCAATTTTACTAGGAAGTTAATTTCGTCCAAACTTGGCATGCTCTCCTCATTTCGGATTGGCTACATCGCCCCAGAAAATTGGCTGCCTACGTTGAAATTGGTAATGCCATCTACCTGACAATTTTGACAATTTTTTTCGTTTTTTCGATGTATTTTCGAAATTTATGAAATGGTATCTTTCTAGCTTCACATCTCTACAGAAACCCTATATTCTGCGTCGAATGCCGTTTCGTTGAATCTCATAGGTCAAATATTAAGGGTACTTTGTTGGAAGATCAATTTTGATAGAAGTTTTCATGAAGTACCCCTAATGCTGCTTTTCTTCATTACAGTTGGTTTTATTTACCCCAATTTTTGGGCGAACAATTGTCAATAGCTCGAAACGTCGAAATCGACCTGTATGACCTTTGTTTAAGGGTCGGGGGTAAAAGTCCGGAGGTCAAGTCTCATATAACCCCATAAGTGTGGCATCGTTGAAAAGGTCTCGGCTTGAGGATTCGGAATATATATGCATTGTGGGGCCTTTGACCTTAATCCCCTCGTCGAGACCTTTTCAACGATGGCACACTTATGGGGTTATATGAGACTTGACCTCCGGACTTTTACCCCCGACCCTTAAACAAAGGTCATACAGGTCGATTTCGACGTTTCGTGCTATTGACAATTGTTCGCCAACTAAATATGTAAATAAAACCAACTGTAATGAAGAAAAGCAGCATTAGGGGTACTTCATGAAAACTTCTATCAAAATTGATCTTCCTACAAAGTACCCTTAATATTTGACCTATGAGATTCAACGAAACGGCATTCGACGCAGAATATAGGGTTTCTGTAGAGATGTGAAGCTAGAAAGATACCATTTCATAAATTTCGAAAATACATCGAAAAAACGAAAACAATTGTCAAAATTGTCAGGTAGATGGCATTACCAATTTCAACGTAGGCAGCCAATTTTCTGGGGCGATGTAGCCAATCCGAAATGAGGAGAGCATGCCAAGTTTGGACGAAATTAACTTCCTAGTAAAATTGCAATGATGTTTTCCAGTATTTGTGGCGATATGAAAAATTTGGGGCACAATGAGAAAAAACGCTGTTACACGTGTACACTAATTTTTGATTCTATTGAACACGTGTAAGAGCGTTTTTAGTTTTGTGACAACTCTGCATACACCATGTACCGGTTTATGTGAACCTAGTCATATATATGTATGTAAGGTACTTATGATTAATTAGATTACTCATTTATAGAGACAGCCAGGCCAGCGGGGGTATAATTAGGTTAGTCATAGTTTACCAACTGGCCCAGGTGTTCTTGCTTGGACGTCCGTTCCCAAGAAAAGTTTAACCGGTTTAACCACGCATGGCCTAGTGGTGTTAATGTACGGCTTGAATCTCCTTTTATCACCATTAATGCACGTTCAATCGCTGCACATGTCGTGTAACTTATTTCCATGCATTTTTTGCATGCCTTGTTACACAAAATATGTATTGATAGTTTTAGACATATTTTGGGCCAAGAATTTCAAAAATGGCCTTCACTATCACGATGACCCAGTAACTCTGTAAGTTACATAAAAGTTAGGAAATGGAGAATTTATTGTATTCATGGTTCTAGTTGTTGGTTGTAATGGAGATTTCGAAAATCTCCACTATTTCTATATACGGTGATCCCTTGTAAATGAAGTCAAAATTGTCAAATCTATTCATTTTTCATGCACATGCATTTTTAGATATGCACACTTTACTCTGTGCCTATGTTATAAAGAATTGATTCTAATTATAAAATTTAGACCATATTATTATCATGTTACTCAGGATTATATGCACATTGTAAAAAATGACGTTTATTGATACCGGGTGCAGTTATTTACTCACAGAACTGTTTATTAAAACCTGCATGATTCCGACTTCTTGGACCTTTTTTGCAAAGATTTAACATTAATATGTATCAATTTATGTATCTAGTTTTGGTGAAAACTTGGTCATCTGTTTTTCCTTGGTCCACAACTTTGTATTCGTTACGAACCATTTTTCCGACAAGTTTCCAATCACTTTGTCCAGGTTAAAATTTTGAATTCTGAAACACAACGGCCAGGATTAAAACTTTGAATTGACCAACTCTACACTAATAATATGACAAAATTGTATTTGTGTTATTTTAACAATGATTTCAACTTCATAATGCAAAGAAAGTCACGTCAGAAAAATTGAGTTTGCTACTGAATATGATAGAGCAACTATCTGGGATCACGGAAATATAAATTTCGTCCAAATTTCCATTTCCATTTCGGTGGAAATTACCATTTCGGTGTGGCGGGCGTAAATAGTCTCATGGCGTTTAACCCTCCTTCACTTTTTCTATACCATATAGCACTACAACATATCCAAAGGAGATCGAAGTCTGGCACCGACAACATGTGACACCCTACTCCTTAATTAATTAATCCTTACCCTAGATCGAATTCTAGTGTAGCTTCTGAAAATTTTTTGAACCCCATACTTGTGGCATAGGAAACTACGTCAGCATGCAGGTAAGACCTTTGTTTGATAAATTGGGGTGGTGAACATGTGGGGGTGGTCGGCGGAAGAGTGAGTGTGCGCAGTGCTGGTGGGGGCGGCTCGGCTAGGTCTACGGGGTTCCCATGACTTTGTCATGTGCTGCGATGGGAGGGGTTAGTTTGTGGGGTGTATCATGGCCCCTTTATGGGGTCACTTAGGCCGAACCCTGAAATGGGTCCTTGGTTAGTTTGTGGTCCATGAATGCTCCACTCCAGCCTTTGCGATTATGGATACAACCAATGTGTTGAACATGCATGTCGAATCCCTAAGGAGGGGAGCTTGCGAGGTTGATAATAACAGATCTTGGTGCCCTTTGGATATGTGGTAGGGACCCATGAGTGTACTAAAACCCTGAAGTAGTTTGACTCCATGGCCACATTTGCGCCCGCCACACCCACTCAAAAATGCCCAAAAAACGCTTTCACTCCAGTTTTCACTCACTCAAATCCACGCCAAAAATCCAATTTTACTCGGATTTTGAAATTTCTTTCACCATTATACTCCCAGATAGTTGCTTTCTTCAATCCAATATCAAACTCAATTTTATTGATGATTATTTCGCAAACATAATTTGTTTTGTTGATGACTACAACAATGCTCATTCAGAATTTTAAATTTTAAAAATACTAAAAATTTCGAAAAAATTGAGTTTGATATTGGATTGAAGAAAGCAACTATCTGGGAGTATAATGGTGAAAGAAATTTCAAAATCCGAGTAAAATTGGATTTTTGGCGTGGATTTGAGTGAGTGAAAACTGGGGTGAAAGCGTTTTTTGGACATTTTTGAGTGGGTGTGGCGGGCGCAAATGTGGCCATGGAGTCAAACTACTTCAGGGTTTTAGTACACTCATGGGTCTCTACCACATATCCAAAGGGCACCAATATCTGTTATTATCAACCTCGCAAGCTCCCCTCCTAAGTATTCTTGGCACCAGGTTGGCCATTCAGAGTGGGCATTCAGACGTCCCATTTCAATATAATACTGTAGGCTGGGGTCTTAGAAATTTCATATCTTCAAGGATTCACAAGTCCTTAAGTCATCTAACCCAGACGGGTATTATGGAAAGGTATAAAGTCTTATCTACGACTGTATACAAGTTGAAGATTATGAGCGAATTCGAAACAAAAATATATTCAAAATATGTCCAAAAAATGCATTCGAGTGGTAAGAGTACGAAAATATTTCATGGAACAAATTCGCTAGATGTCGAGCAAGAAGCCTTATTGTCGTTGGGATACGTGTTGGCTTTGTGTTCCGTGATTATTGCCATGGCGACAATGACCTTGGTTTGGGAGATTGTTTTTCGATATTTGGTGAAGAAATATAACTGCTAAGTTAAATTTTATACACTTTAAACGCATGGCATAGGGTGACAATGTACACATAAGGTTAGTGTTACATGTGTGTAGTTTCATACTTACACAGATTACGTAATATTAAAAAACATTCCGTTAGTGGTATACATAGAAGTTACATAGTTATAGAGACATAATGTGCTACGACATGAGGTGGACAGGATGGAAATTGACGATAAACAAAGAGCTACAGCTACATATACTTATACGTACATATTTATTTAAATCTCACTCCCCCAAAGAAATCTGCTCCCTAGTTTTCATTGACAGGATGAATTTATGAATGTACGAATAATTTTCACATCCTTTGTATTGAATTTAAATCTAAATCGAATACCGTAGTAACGTTAGAAGTTCCGTGATATTAATTAAGATATAATTTTACACCAAAATGTGCCGAATAAACGAACAAAATACAGAGAGTCCAGCACGTTGCTGAAAACGTATTTGACCTTGAATAACCCCGGAACGGTTTGTGGTAGCGGGTCAAAATTTTGAACAGAGGAGCATGTTATTCTCAGGTAGTGTGCAAAAATTCAACTCTCTATTTTCAAAAATGCCTTCCCCACAGCCCCCAGAAGGTGAGGTAGTCATTTCAACTTGTTCCAGAAAAAATCTCGCCCGTGTTTGCAAAAAAATGTATTTGAATTTTCTGTCGAGGAATAGGAGTAAGTTATTTGTGACAATTGACGAAGCACTATTTTCCCTACAAGTTACTAATTGGGTTCGAAGAGCTTACTACGCGACAAATGCTGAAAAGAATTCACGCAATTTGATGCTTTCCCGTGAGGACGACTTTTTCAAACATTTTATTGACGTAGGTGCAATGTTGGGTCGTGGTGTCCCCCAACATATCAAAGTCCCCAAAAAAGTGAAGTTATCTGCAAAGTATTATGTGGACCGTGTATTAAAACCACTTTTACAATTAAATTTTCCTAAATGGTAGGGCAAACAAATAAATGAGGTGATTTTTCATGATGACGCAGCGTCTTCCCAAACGGCAAAGTTGACCCAACGTTATGCAAAGGACCTTGAAGCTAGATTGGAGATAAAAATAATTTTGAATAGTGAAATACCTGTACAATCCCCCGATGTAAGTCAAATGTGCTTATTTTGGGTCGGATAAGTGAAAAGAAAAAAATTTCTGCGGAGTCCGAATTTTTTAGCCGGAGTTTGGAAAGAGTTGAAATGACTACCTCACCTTCTGGGGGCTATGGGGAAGGCATTTTTGAAAGTAGAGAGTTGAATTTTTGCACACAACTACCTGAGAATAACATGCTCCTCTGTTCAAAATTTTGACCCGCTACCACAAACCGTTCTGGGGTTATTCAAGGTCAAATACGGATGCACCAGCGTGCTGGACTCTCTGTATGCATATTTAAGATCTCAGACAGGGAGGCAGACGGACAAAAGGAATTCAAGTGCGTTCAGTCGCACTCGCATATTCGCATTGTCATTGTCACTTGTGTTGCATTTAAATTTTGTGTCGAAAGACAGTTCGTGACGTAACACGTTTTTCCTTTTACAGGTTTATTGCAATCAGTTTAAAAATAATATGGTGATTATTGTCAGAACTATGTATATCTTGAGATCGTTTTTCGCACCGCATATGTAGCTCAGATTTTATATTTAAGGAAGACATGTATGCGAAATAGGTAATTTCATTTACTGATATAAATAAAATAATCATTAATCAAAAAATTTTGTGTTAATAAAATTACTAATATTAACTGATGTAAATAAAATGTAAATAAAATGTCTCCTGTATTGCACTGCACTTTAAGTTGTTATTAGTAATGAATAACATGCTTGCATAATGCAAGTTGCATTAGTTGATGAGCTAGCTCCTTGTAGCAGCAGCTGCTAGTAGAAGAAACTTTCTCTTTTGGTTGAGGTTTTATTTTACTGGTCTCACTTCCCCACCGCTAGGTGCGGAAGTTCCAAGACCTAAACCATTTACAGGCAAACATTGTTTGAAAGATGAAAGCGGTCTCCATCATCAGAAATTAGATTTCTCAGTTGAAAGAAATAAATTACTCGCGTAAAACTTACCAAATTTACTCGTCCGTTTGCAAGCTTTCACATTCCGAAAGGTTGGCGAAATTGTGATGGGAATCTCGTCGCGTTGATAACGCTGCCCTCCAATACTTGTTGCACCATACACGAACCTCACTGCTCTAACATATTGGTTTAGCTTTTTCAAATTGGTATTAGCTCTTTTTTCATAAATTAGCCTGGCTGCCCAAGCTGATAATGTACCATTATTTGTTTAATTTAATCATCAACGAAAGTAAATATGCATTAAATGTCGCGAGACAATACGTAATGATTGGTTGAGTCTTGCAAGCAAATCAGCAATTATATATATGGCTTCCGGGTTCGGTTGGAGATTCCACTCTACTCGACGGAATGAAATATTGATACAATTATGGTTTAAAATTTCTTGCAATTTTGTAGCATTTATTCCAATTATCATATTTAGGTCTGCTCTTAGCATTTAAGGAATCAATTATGAAAAAAATTTGCAAATAAACACACAACAAATTACTTATGTATAATCTAGCGAAAAAATAACCAAATAAATATCTATCGTTTACGCTTTTGCACCTTTAGATTTGTTATGTTGCCATCGGCAGGAAACGGCGATCTGTGTGGAATGAGTTCAAATTGCTGGTAATAGTGACAGCTACAAATTGCTTGCAATCGTCCCCTGCAGACATATTGTTATGCTAAGGTCCTCGTGGTTAATCCGACCGCTAACTGTATTTTTTAACAGACAGAACAACATTTAAAAAAGTCAGTCATCGACAGAGAGCTCCTAAGTTACATAAAATTATTTGGTCCAATAAGGAAAATCGAATTAAACCTTATCTAAAACCAAGAAACCGGCTGGATTAAGTTGGCAAGTTTCCAGAATATTTTATTCCAGATTTTAAAAATCTGAAAACCAACAACGCTCGATATGAGAATCGTTGGAGACCGTGCTCAGATGCTAAGTGTTGGGGCTCCCCATTTCGAGGTACGTAGGGCAATCTGTACATAGCTGATCTTGTGTGTGTGGGAGACCTACACGCTCAATTTGAACTACACCATGCGGCTGGATTAATTTGTTGCGACGAATTTGTCTGTCGGGGCCCAATTCGTCCTGGTCAATTTGACCCTATGCTTTGAATTATCAACATATTTAATTTCGAACGTTCAGCACAGCGCATTCCGAACAAATCTTGTTCATCTGCATGCATACATATTGTAGATAAATGGGGTTGTAAAATTGCTAAATTTTGTAATTAATTAAGTATGCATATCAATTAATGTTTATTTCCTCCGAGGCATAATACATAAATACGGAAATATTTATGCATACATTACTGACTTTTCGCTCCCTTTTAACCTACAATTTGTCAACATTAACATACTCGCTCTTGTATTTGGCGTCACATCCTCGGACAAAGGACCTTATCTCCTTCCCATATATGGTGGTATGCCCGATTAGCTCGGATGACGAGAAACAGGTAGAGTTTCCGGTAAAATCCGCGTTTTCAAACCCAGTCCAACTCGACCGGCCAGTGAGAACAATATATTTCGCAAGAAACCCGAAATTCGTGGCCGACGAGCCAGTAAACGTGTACTCCATTCCACCATCGTAACAACACCCCAGTCCCCGGTAGATTGATATGCTACGCTTTCTTGTTTCTGATGGTCCCGCAAATCTCAATGACATTGTGTAAAAAAGTGTATCATTTCTGCAATAGGTTGATCCATCCATGGTAAATTCATTGATTGTCCGACCATTTGTATAGTTGGCAGAACCAAATCCGTGCCATCTAGTAAAGTATGATGAAGAATGTTTAACACCGCGTCACCTTTGTGCATGATGCTAAGCCATTATTTTAAATATATTTACTTTTTAATATAGGATGTGATTACAAAAGAAAGAAACTTTTGAAAAATTTATTAATTTATTTCGAAGAAAAATTGTCACTGAGTCGGAACGCAGTAGTTTTGTATTTTGTATTTCAAGGGGATTTTTAAATTAGCATCAATTGATGCAAACAACTCGTCAACAGACGTACGGACAGACGGAAAGACAGACAGACAGAGAGGCAGACGAACCGACAGACGGACGAACGGACACGATTAATTCAATAGCTCCCGTGCCAAGCAGAGTGACAAATCCCTGGCAATTAATGACATTTACAAAAATATACGTCCAATAAATACATACTTACAGTCCTTTAGCGCACCATGATTTCACGTTTCTTAAATGCGGCAAGTATGTCGTGAGGTCGGGCTCCTTACTTTTAAATCGCAGCGCATCTCCTCCCTGACCAGGTTCTGTGTAGAGGGTCAGCTCCTGCACGAAACCGGACGCAATGCTGACGTAGCTGACGAAGAAAAATAGTCGAAAAAACATTATAATAAATCTTAGCTGGCTGGCAAGTGCAGGAATTGAAGTGATGAATTTTACCTAAATTACCACTCTTTTATAGTATTATATATCTATGCATTGCATCATTTTTTTATGCTGTGGATAAATATACCTTGTAATCTAAATAGAATCCCAGTTGGACAAGTCAATTAAGTGATTTTTATCTGTGAAACAATAACAGATATTGATGTCTGACAAGTAAATTTAAATTGGTATTCGCAATCCACTTGATGATGAGTTTTTATGTGGGATTGCGGGTAACATAAACTGCTACCCGTAACCCTCTATCGCATCCGCTTTCGGCTGTGAAATATTAACCAAAAGAAGCTAACAGTAAGTAGTAAAGTCGAGTTTTTAATTATTTGGACATATTTATATTGCGGACGGAGATATTTGCATCGAAAGAGTAGAATCGTGCCCGCAAGGCTGGCAAAATTTTCATTTTCCTAATTTGCAGCGCATTTTTTCCGTTTCGGATGCAAATATCTTCACCAAACTTGCGCATTGGCAGATAGTGCGATTTGCAAATTTCGTACTAATAAAATTCGTGATCGATTGGTCCAAATCTGTGAGCACACGTTGGGAGACCTCCATTGTGAGTTCATTGGAATTTTATCAGTTCCCACTTGTTGAGATTGTTTCTGACGATTTGCATAAATACTTATATAACATAATTAAAAACAGTGGTAATTGAGTCTGACAATTACATAAATGCAAAATAACCGACCAGGTGTCCACAAGTGACAGTTACGTAACTGATTGCATAAATAATTGCACAACTGCATAAACTGTCCAATACAAATATTCCACGATTTTCGTGTCCGAAAAAGGGCAAATTTTTTAAAAGGGTCCTGAACGAAAATCAATTCAAATTTCGACGGCGGGGCTAGAAAATTTTTTTATTTTTAGTACGGGATTAATTTTGGATGTTTTCAAATACCATGATTTTTTTAGTAGAAATATGTATTTATTACCTAGTAGGGCCATTTGTTCTGACCAATACATGAATTAATGTACCGAACCCAGTTGATGCAATTTTGAAAAACTAATAATACCACGAGAAAACCATTAGAATTCCCTTCAAAATATATGTACCAACTAGTTTTCAAAATTTCCTCCTTTTGAAGCTACAAGGGCCAGAAGTCTTAATATCCACATACGCATATCAATATTCATAACCAGAAGAGATAATTTACTTGGTAGCACTGTAATTTGTTGATTATGGCTTTATATTTACTGCTGGTGTGACCATAGTTCAAAGTCTGACAATTTATCCACCCTACGCAAATTAACAGTTTGTCTACGTGTGGTAACTCGTGTGGTGGGAGAGTAATTCGGAAAATATTCGGAGGATGGTGACATCAGTATTTTTTTGGTACGCGCCACACATGGGATGATTAATGAGGTTATCGAGGTAAAGAATTACATAACAGATATACTCCGCATCAAGGCAGCCTTGAACTTTTAGAGAAATTAAGAATTAGATATGTTTGAGAAACTGCTAGTCTCAAAGTTCCCAGTGATCATAAATTGAGGGAAATTAAGACTCACGGTGGCGCCCCGAGTGAAAATTGTATGTCGAATTTGACATAATTCTACAAAAGTGGCCGGAACAATGGTTTGTGCGGAAAAAGTATGAACGATTCTGTATAAAAGTTTTGACAGGTATGTATATTCTGCAGAAAGATTTGGCACAATTTTGCATAATTCTGCATATTTTGTGCACAAATTGTTTCGACATAAATTTTTATGCATAAAATCCAGCCAACTTTATGCATAAAGTGTCGTAAATTTTTTACCCGGGTAGTTTTTCAGAATTCGCTTATTCTGCAAAAATTCAAACCTACGTGAATTGAGAGTACGTAGGTATTTATAAATTATGTAATTGGGTAAACATAAGACATTATTGTTTCTAGAACTGCAACATTTTGGAGTTAATTAGTGGACAGTGTGGGTTAAAAATTTTGATTACATTTTTTAATTTGGTTTTAATTTCCTAAATATAAAACATGAACTTATTTCTTATTTCCAGTTGGCTGCTTGAATTTATACCCAAACTGGTTACCCTGCTCTACGCGGGATGTTTCAAAAATGTCACACCATTGAAAAACGTTTTTTTAACTACAATTTATTATTTTGCCTGTAACTTCAGTGAATTAAATGAGGAAATAAAAAGTAGGAAATTATTTAATCTGTGGTTTTTGCGGATAATATTTAATTTATTGAAAAATTGCTAGCTTCCAGTGAACCACAGTCATGTTCATCGCGTTGTTTACTGATATATTTTTTCCAAATATGACCTTTACGTTAAAATTTGAGTACGACAGATGTACTACAATGCAAAGACAACCATGAAAATATGTAGGGAAAAGTGTGTTAATCAACTAACTTAAAACATTTATGGAAGCCAGAACCGTCCAATACAATTTTAAAAATATTACATATATTCAAAATAATTTCTGGACAGAAATCGTTGGAGATTTGCAAAATTTCTTGACGGATTTTATGGTCAGTTAGATATATAAGTATTAATTTTCAGCTGATGCCTGCATAATTTCACCTGATTGTTCACGTTTATACATTTTGAAATCTTCTAATTTCTTACTCTAACTGTGAATGTGTGTCTGTGAATAATTCATTTAAATCATGTATTTATTAAAATATGCTTATTATTTAAACGACTTCATTATCAAGGTGGAATTTTTCCATGCATTGTTCTAAATGTCACAATGCGTGTAACAAACATAGTGTGGGCACACGTCAAAAAAATACGTTCGATTGACTAACAATGCGACGGTGTGAAGTGTAACCCTCCGAATTGGTTTAAATTTTGAAATTAAGTGGTCCAAAGCAATACAACCAAAGTTTCTTCCGGCAGTTTGTGCGATGGTCAGAATGGTTATAGTTGAAAAATGTGCAATTTTTAGCACGGGAAGAGAATGGAAGTTAAGTTTCCTTCCTCCGCCTGGTAAAAATCGCCCGTTTCTCAACTTTGACCTCAAATATTTTGACAAATTCTGACCATCGCACAAACTGCCTCAAGAAACGTTGGTTGTATTGACGGGGACCACACAATTTCAAAATTTCAGCCAAATCGGAGGGTTACACTTCACACCATCGCATTGTAAGATTGACAAGGTATTGTGCACATAGTTGCGCGTGGATTAAATTATTTTTATCAAATGCTCGCCATGAATATTATTCACCTTATTAAATATATTTTCCACTCACAATGGAGGTCTTCCTGCGTATGCTCATAGATTTGAACCAAGGTGTGAAATTGGCATATGAAGGTATCCGCCAATGCGCAGGGTTGGCGGAGAAAGGTGGACAAATAAGCAGCAAATTTGGAAACTGAAACATTTTCTAGTTTTGAGGGTACGTTTTCTCATCTTTTTAAGCAAATATCTCCTCTAAATTTGAGCATTTGTAGATAGTTTTACTTGCAAATTTCACACTAATTAAATTTATGATCTATTGACACGACTTCGGTTCAAGTCTGTGAGCATACATTGGGAGACCTCCATTGTGAGTGAGATTGCTCATAGTTTACTACATTCTTACCTATGGAATAGCCCAACCTTTCCACTTGGATTTAAAACCGACCGTTTAAAAAGCATCCCAATTCTGCTTCTTGATATCATTCCTCTTCAGGACCTTCGTATCAGTGTGTGCCTGTTACAACTGCAGCAATGAATTTTTTCACAATTCTCATTCCTATCCTACTTTCTGCAACTCGTGCCACTGCACAGGTAAATTTTGTTTAATATCGTAATATAACCCTTAATCTTAACGAATTAACCAATTTTGTAGAACAAGGACCCCTGCATGGAATCCACAATTTTTCAAACGATGATTGAGGTAGATTTTACCCCATTATAAACGCTTCCATCATTTTTTTCAAAATTTCAAATTTCAAGTTATTTAAATTCCACTTCATGTTCACGAGGATTGATTTTATTACCACCGGTATTTTTTCTGATTCAAAATTTTTACAGTATAATTGTCATTATTTTTAGACGGAATCATGTAAAGGTCTGTTTAACGATGTGGATATTGCAGATAAGGTAATTTTCCTATTCAATACTATCTACTAATTTTTCACACTTACGTAAATGTGTTATATCATATAACTTATATGCATACAGTTGAATGAACTCGAAGTTGATAAATAATAAACTAATTTAAAATAAATAAACTAATTCTTTAAAAAAAACTTAGGTGAGGCTTGCTTAAAAGGGAGAAACAAGAGGTTCTCATCGTGTAATAAAATAATATGCTACATCAATGTTCATCTCATGATTTATAATTTTAGGTGAATACAACAACAAATTATATGCGTTTCGGACCATTTGCCTTGTAAGTTTAAATTGCTATTTTTCATATTTATGTACAACCATCAAGAAGGTACATATGCACATCTGTATTAGTATCGAACAATTAATCACTAATTCTAAATAAACTAAATCGATAAAATCGAATATATGATGGAGCTAATTCCTAAACTCAAATCCGTATGTTACTTTCTTCTAATTGTGCTTGCTGAAATTTATTTTATCTTTGGGGCACGTTTAATTTGAAATGAAACTATTCTAAACTATTCAAAAAGGCATTCTGCTCAGCGAACGGTGCTCTTAACTCGGTAAGTTTTTTAAAATCAAAAATACGGTTGTTATAAATAGGTATATAAATATGTACACTCTAAGAAATTTTATTACCACGCGGTAAACATATATGACTCCACCGTACTGGTAGAACTACTATTACTGCACAGTAACCTCCGTTTCACGCTACTTGAGTTCACTTCATGGAGTACATTACCCGAATCAACCGAATTACATAGTTTATTATTTGACACCAGTTATTTTCATTTTGACGTAAAAATCATAAATCATACGAAATTGAATAATTTAAACGCCAAAATGAAAATAACTGGTGTCAAATATGGTAGAGGCATTTTAATTAAGCACAATTTAGATTATATCTTGCTGAGAGGCTTATTGGCCGACCTTGTAATGCTTAACAACATTGGAGACTAAAATTGGCATTACTTTACCAATTGATGACCGATTTTCAAAATTGCCACTGTTTTGGAAAGCTCAAGTCAATTGGCGAAATATATATTTCCAGATTTTTTAAATTCGACCACACCCCCTCGAAATTAAGGTCACAAGGTCAAAAAATGCATAAAATACAATTAATGCATACAGCGGAATTTGAAAGTGTAAAAATCAAGTTGCATGTCGAAAAAATACCTCGACCCCCAGGACACTGAACAATGTTCAAGGGGTCGCGTGCCTCACCCACAGTGGGTGTGGCCGTAGGCGCCTTTTCGATTTCAATGAAACCATGTCATGTGATATATCATTTTTCTCAGGACGATTAGGACATTACGACTGAACACTTAAAATTCACGAACCACGCCCCCAGTGGGTGTGGTCGTTGGCGAATTTTAGATTTTAAGGAAACCATGTCATGTGATATATCATTCTTCTCAGCTCGATGAGGACATTACGATTGAATGTATAAAATTTATGAACCACGCCCCCGGTGGGTGTGGTCGTTGGCGAATTTGGATTTTAAGGAAACCATGTCACTTGATATATCATTCTTCTCAGCTCGATGAGGACATTACGATTGAATGCTTAAAATGTATGAACCACGCCCCCAGTGGGTGTAGTCGTTGGCGAATTTTCGATTTTAAGGAAACCATGTCATGAGATATATCATAATTTAGCCAAATCATGCCACATGGCATCACATTTTGCTCAGCTCAAGAGACGGGCTCCGTCGAAGAAAAAATTTTTGTATATGTACACTACAACCCCTGGGTGCGGAAGTAGTTTTTAATATTTTTTCAATAGTGTCAAAATCGTGTTTTTTAAATTCGATTTGATATAAATATATTTGAATATTTTTTTAACATTGTTAACACTGATATTTTCCTCTTGGGACTAAGTAATTTAAATTTGAGTCCATGACTTCACATTCGAAGCAAGAATTTAAGAGCACGAAATTGGTACCAAAATTTAAACACCTAAAATTGCGTCGTTGGATATAGAGACTTACCTGCCTGAGACGAAAATCGTGATTTTGGATGCAGTTTTAATGAACACATTCAATGCTCAAATATTTTCAACAAAGATCCAAACTCGTCGAATGTGAATTAAAGTTACAAGAAAAAACACATTATCCAAGAAATATTGCATATTTCCGATTGTTAAGAATGCAGCATGTTTGTTTATTATCTTTTTGGGTAATTTTTTAAAAATTTTTTGGGTAATGGGCCCCGTGTTTGAATTTGAAATCCGGACACCACCATGAGAACTTACGTACGAATTGAAACAGCGGCAAAACCAAGGGGGCCCATTACCCAAAACATTCATAATAGTGTACAGTCAGGCCTAGATTTAGGGGTGGACAACACGGGCAGTTGGTCAGGGCGCGATATCGTTGGAAAGGTTTCGGTGGGAGGATTAAGAAGATGTATACTTTATGGGGTCTGGGACCACCCCCTAGTTTTCTAGAGACCAATAAGTAATATTGAGTTTTCACTAAGCTAGTGCTATGTTAGCTCTCAATCTGCTCCTGTGTTAACGTGTGCGTATTATGAAAACCAAAACTCAATATTACTCATCGGTCTCTAGAAAACTAGGGGGTGGTCCCAGACCCTATAAAGTATACATCTTCTTACATAATCCTCCCACTGAAACCTTTCCAACGATACCTTACTTATGGGGTTATGTGAGACTTGGCCTGATGACCTTTTTCGTTTGTGCGAAAAACTTGATGACCTTGAAACAGTTGAAAAATCCAAAGGAAATCGTCAGTTTTTAAAGTGTTGCCTATACTCTAAGTAAAAATAATTAAAACTTACTTAAGGTTAATCACAATAGAGGACTACACAACAATTGGACAAAATTCATAACAGGTCAGCTAAAATGATAAATTTTGTACGTTGGTTAAATTTGATGGGTGAATAAATTTGAAGGGATGTTTGAATAAAATTTGCCTAATAGTTATTCCACTTCATTTTGCTAAACGTTTACTAAAATTTTGGCCGTCATTATTTAGATTGCACAAGCGCCGTTGAAACTAGTTTTGTTAGATTTTGTACTACACTAAACCCAGTAAGGGATCAAAGCATAGTTAGGATAACGTGGTACTTGAAAAAAATACGGATCAAAAATACGCACAAAAATATCAGTCAAAATTTCCTCATCTGGCTGAGAAGTATGATATATCAGGACATGGTTTCCTTAAAATCTAAAACTCGCAGATAACCACACCCACTGGGGGCGTGGTTCATACATTTTAAGCATTCAATCGTAATGTCCTCATCGAGCTGAGAAGAATGATATATCAAGTGACATGGTTTCCTTAAAATCCAAATTCGCCAACGACCACACCCACCGGGGGCGTGGTTCATAAATTTTATACATTCAATCGTAATGTCCTCATCGAGCTGAGAAGAATGATATATCACATGACATGGTTTCCTTAAAATCTAAAATTCGCCAACGACCACACCCACTGGGGGCGTGGTTCGTGAATTTTAAGTGTTCAGTCGTAATGTCCTAATCGTCCTGAGAAAAATGATATATCACATGACATGGTTTCATTGAAATCGAAAAGGCGCCTACGGCCACACCCACTGTGGGTGAGGCACGCGACCCCTTGAACATTGTTCAGTGTCCTGGGGGTCGAGGTATTTTTTCGACATGCAACTTGATTTTTACACTTTCAAATTCCGCTGTATGCATTAATTGTATTTTATGCATTTTTTGACCTTGTGACCTTAATTTCGAGGGGGTGTGGTCGAATTTAAAAAATCTGGAAATATATATTTCGCCAATTGACTTGAGCTTTCCAAAACAGTGGCAATTTTGAAAATCGGTCATCAATTGGTAAAGTAATGCCAATTTTAGTCTCCAATGTTGTTAAGCATTACAAGGTCGGCCAATAAGCCTCTCAGCAAGATATAATCTAAATTGTGCTTAATTAAAATGCCTCTACCATATTTGACACCAGTTATTTTCATTTTGGCGTTTAAATTATTCAATTTCGTATGATTTATGATTTTTACGTCAAAATGAAAATAACTGGTGTCAAATAATAAACTATGTAATTCGGTTGATTCGGGTAATGTACTCCATGAAGTGAACTCAAGTAGCGTGAAACGGAGGTTACTGTGCAGTAATAGTAGTTCTACCAGTACGGTGGAGTCATATATGTTTACCGCGTGGTAATAAAATTTCTTAGAGTGTACATATTTATATACCTATTTATAACAACCGTATTTTTGATTTTAAAAAACTTACCGAGTTAAGAGCACCGTTCGCTGAGCAGAATGCCTTTTTGAATAGTTTAGAATAGTTTCATTTCAAATTAAACGTGCCCCAAAGATAAAATAAATTTCAGCAAGCACAATTAGAAGAAAGTAACATACGGATTTGAGTTTAGGAATTAGCTCCATCATATATTCGATTTTATCGATTTAGTTTATTTAGAATTAGTGATTAATTGTTCGATACTAATACAGATGTGCATATGTACCTTCTTGATGGTTGTACATAAATATGAAAAATAGCAATTTAAACTTACAAGGCAAATGGTCCGAAACGCATATAATTTGTTGTTGTATTCACCTAAAATTATAAATCATGAGATGAACATTGATGTAGCATATTATTTTATTACACGATGAGAACCTCTTGTTTCTCCCTTTTAAGCAAGCCTCACCTAAGTTTTTTTTAAAGAATTAGTTTATTTATTTTAAATTAGTTTATTATTTATCAACTTCGAGTTCATTCAACTGTATGCATATAAGTTATATGATATAACACATTTACGTAAGTGTGAAAAATTAGTAGATAGTATTGAATAGGAAAATTACCTTATCTGCAATATCCACATCGTTAAACAGACCTTTACATGATTCCGTCTAAAAATAATGACAATTATACTGTAAAAATTTTGAATCAGAAAAAATACCGGTGGTAATAAAATCAATCCTCGTGAACATGAAGTGGAATTTAAATAACTTGAAATTTGAAATTTTGAAAAAAATGATGGAAGCGTTTATAATGGGGTAAAATCTACCTCAATCATCGTTTGAAAAATTGTGGATTCCATGCAGGGGTCCTTGTTCTACAAAATTGGTTAATTCGTTAAGATTAAGGGTTATATTACGATATTAAACAAAATTTACCTGTGCAGTGGCACGAGTTGCAGAAAGTAGGATAGGAATGAGAATTGTGAAAAAATTCATTGCTGCAGTTGTAACAGGCACACACTGATACGAAGGTCCTGAAGAGGAATGATATCAAGAAGCAGAATTGGGATGCTTTTTAAACGGTCGGTTTTAAATCCAAGTGGAAAGGTTGGGCTATTCCATAGGTAAGAATGTAGTAAACTATGAGCAATCTCACTCACAATGGAGGTCTCCCAATGTATGCTCACAGACTTGAACCGAAGTCGTGTCAATAGATCATAAATTTAATTAGTGTGAAATTTGCAAGTAAAACTATCTACAAATGCTCAAATTTAGAGGAGATATTTGCTTAAAAAGATGAGAAAACGTACCCTCAAAACTAGAAAATGTTTCAGTTTCCAAATTTGCTGCTTATTTGTCCACCTTTCTCCGCCAACCCTGCGCATTGGCGGATACCTTCATATGCCAATTTCACACCTTGGTTCAAATCTATGAGCATACGCAGGAAGACCTCCATTGTGAGTGGAAAATATATTTAATAAGGTGAATAATATTCATGGCGAGCATTTGATAAAAATAATTTAATCCACGCGCAACTATGTGCACAATACCTTGTCAATCTTACAATGCGATGGTGTGAAGTGTAACCCTCCGATTTGGCTGAAATTTTGAAATTGTGTGGTCCCCGTCAATACAACCAACGTTTCTTGAGGCAGTTTGTGCGATGGTCAGAATTTGTCAAAATATTTGAGGTCAAAGTTGAGAAACGGGCGATTTTTACCAGGCGGAGGAAGGAAACTTAACTTCCATTCTCTTCCCGTGCTAAAAATTGCACATTTTTCAACTATAACCATTCTGACCATCGCACAAACTGCCGGAAGAAACTTTGGTTGTATTGCTTTGGACCACTTAATTTCAAAATTTAAACCAATTCGGAGGGTTACACTTCACACCGTCGCATTGTTAGTCAATCGAACGTATTTTTTTGACGTGTGCCCACACTATGTTTGTTACACGCATTGTGACATTTAGAACAATGCATGGAAAAATTCCACCTTGATAATGAAGTCGTTTAAATAATAAGCATATTTTAATAAATACATGATTTAAATGAATTATTCACAGACACACATTCACAGTTAGAGTAAGAAATTAGAAGATTTCAAAATGTATAAACGTGAACAATCAGGTGAAATTATGCAGGCATCAGCTGAAAATTAATACTTATATATCTAACTGACCATAAAATCCGTCAAGAAATTTTGCAAATCTCCAACGATTTCTGTCCAGAAATTATTTTGAATATATGTAATATTTTTAAAATTGTATTGGACGGTTCTGGCTTCCATAAATGTTTTAAGTTAGTTGATTAACACACTTTTCCCTACATATTTTCATGGTTGTCTTTGCATTGTAGTACATCTGTCGTACTCAAATTTTAACGTAAAGGTCATATTTGGAAAAAATATATCAGTAAACAACGCGATGAACATGACTGTGGTTCACTGGAAGCTAGCAATTTTTCAATAAATTAAATATTATCCGCAAAAACCACAGATTAAATAATTTCCTACTTTTTATTTCCTCATTTAATTCACTGAAGTTACAGGCAAAATAATAAATTGTAGTTAAAAAAACGTTTTTCAATGGTGTGACATTTTTGAAACATCCCGCGTAGAGCAGGGTAACCAGTTTGGGTATAAATTCAAGCAGCCAACTGGAAATAAGAAATAAGTTCATGTTTTATATTTAGGAAATTAAAACCAAATTAAAAAATGTAATCAAAATTTTTAACCCACACTGTCCACTAATTAACTCCAAAATGTTGCAGTTCTAGAAACAATAATGTCTTATGTTTACCCAATTACATAATTTATAAATACCTACGTACTCTCAATTCACGTAGGTTTGAATTTTTGCAGAATAAGCGAATTCTGAAAAACTACCCGGGTAAAAAATTTACGACACTTTATGCATAAAGTTGGCTGGATTTTATGCATAAAAATTTATGTCGAAACAATTTGTGCACAAAATATGCAGAATTATGCAAAATTGTGCCAAATCTTTCTGCAGAATATACATACCTGTCAAAACTTTTATACAGAATCGTTCATACTTTTTCCGCACAAACCATTGTTCCGGCCACTTTTGTAGAATTATGTCAAATTCGACATACAATTTTCACTCGGGGCGCCACCGTGAGTCTTAATTTCCCTCAATTTATGATCACTGGGAACTTTGAGACTAGCAGTTTCTCAAACATATCTAATTCTTAATTTCTCTAAAAGTTCAAGGCTGCCTTGATGCGGAGTATATCTGTTATGTAATTCTTTACCTCGATAACCTCATTAATCATCCCATGTGTGGCGCGTACCAAAAAAATACTGATGTCACCATCCTCCGAATATTTTCCGAATTACTCTCCCACCATTGATCACTTAACTCCCAGCGGGCATCACCCGCAACTTTAGTCACGTTTTTGAAGTTCCATTGAAACCCGAATAAATCATTAAATCTGATTTGATAATCGGTTATTGAAACCTTCCCGGTGAGAGGCATGTTCAGGGTGAACTTCAAGGACACGAATAGATCCTTCAATTCAGCGAAATACTTGTCTTCCCCGACGTATCGGTAAACATCGGGGATAAAGGGTGACCCTTCGATCGAGTTGGAAACGTAATCTCCCATAAAAAATAACCGCGAGGCGTTGATCGATCCTTCAAAAGTTAACTCGTCCCCGGAGAAATTTAGTGAAACGTTTGTCTCAGCCTCACGCAATCCATAGGCAGTGTTTCTGAAATTTAAAATTTAAGTATCTTTATCTCTATCCTAGATATTTTATGATCTTTTAGTCGTTGTACATACATATGTCATTGAACCATATTTTAAATACATGTGTGCAGGCCCCGATCTAGCCCAAAATCTTACCTGGGCAAAGAAATTAGGCGCCCTAAGCCGCTCGCGCCTTCTCCACTCACATGTTAGTTTTTTAGTCAATCAAATATTTGCGTAAACTATTCTTACCCAAGCCTAATTAGAATGGCCATATACAATGCGATCCTACAACTATGATCTTTAATGGCTTAAAATTTGCGGAATATTAAGCAGATCAACAATCCGTAATAATATTCGGGGCGCGCGCTTAGCCAGTTTTTGAGATACTTATCAAAATGTGCATTTTTTCAAATTTCCTATGATAGTCCTGATTTTTGCCTCAAAATCGTCTAAATGGGATGAAATATCACTGTACATAATTTAAAAAAAATTATTTTGAACCAACATTTTGCCGACGTCTGATTTTTTACTTAAATTTTGTAATTTGTTGAGTTCTGCAAAATTATTTCATTTTTCCTACTACATTTTACACGCTCGAAATATGGAATTTTAACACGATGGAATAGATTCGCTAGATAAAATCCATTAGATTTTCTGCATTTTGTAAGCTACATGATATTTCGTTAATTATTTGGAATTTTCTTAATTACACATATCTAGACTTGCATATGTAACTACATACATATATACAGTATAGGCAGAAACTCTTTCCACCCTCATACGTTTTGCACTTAAAACGTTATATCGCTCGAGAGGCTTTATCGAGTGAACTGCAATTTTGCACAATTACTCATCACGATGTAACGTTTTCGAAACCATACTTTGGATAATGAGGTGGCACAAATAACGAAACGGTGTAATTATATCCAAAATTCCAACAGGAAAAAAGTCTTTCCACCCTCTGACTTCTTTTCAGTTTTAGTGTAATTTCTTAAAAACATCGCCCAAAATCGTTTTGCACCAACTTCGTAGTTTGTAATTCTTTGAAAAATTACATTTTTATAACCCCGAACCAATTGTTTGTTATCAGAATTAGCTCATATTACCTGAAAAACGTCTTAGCACAGATTTGGGACAAAAGGTCACAAAATATTATGATAATGGGCTTCGTCCTCGGGGGGTTTTTGCTAAACTGCTTGTGAGGAAGTAAACATTTACCAGAATAGCCCTGAAGTGCAAAAATCTTGGGATAGTGGCGAACCAGCCAGCCTTTAGACGACTACGGATTTCGACCCCAAGAATTTGTGACGCCATTCTCTCCAAGATTCAGTGAAACCCACGTCTACTGCACTAAAAATCAGCTAGAAATGAGGGAAGAATATAACCTTCAAATTTCTGCTCAAACTATAAAGAAGAGGATCGGGGAACCTGAATTTAAAGGCCCAGCAGCGCGGGAAAAGTCTTTTCTCTCCAATGCCAATATGGCTATGCATTCGAAATTAGCTAAAAAGTACCCAAATTGAACCGTTAAGGACTGAAAACGTGCAATCTGGAGCGACGAGACCAATATCAACCTGTTTGGTTCAGCTCGGGTCACCCGGGTTTGTAGACGCCAAGAAAATACAGACAAGGGCAAGTACGGTACGCTAACAATTAAGCATGAGGGTGGAAATCGAATAGTTTGGGCGTGAACGTTGTGGAAGGGCATCAAAAATTTTGATTCAATCAAAGGAATCATGGACTCCAACTACTATAGCGGCCTTCTGATTCAAATTTGATGATGATGGAAGGAAATTACGCTCGGGAAATAATTTTGTTTGCAAATAGGATGATCATCTAAGGCACACATCAAAATTATTGAAGAATAGTTTGACAACAAAGAAGGTTGAATTGTTGTATTGCCTTCCACAATAACGGGACAGAATCCTAATGATAATCTAGGTTTAATCGTGAAGCCCAAAATTGCTCAGCACAAGCTATCTAGCCTGAAAGTACTGGACGAAGCTATAAAACTTCAATTGGAGAATTTGGACACCTCTGTCACCAGCTCATTTATTGAGTTGATAGCAAGAAGTGTCCTTGCCTTCCCAAAGGATCAAGGTGGACATGCCAAATGCCAATTTGACTGTTTTAGAGCAAAGAACAAGTTTAAATAAATTTTACATCAAACTTTAACGATGGTGGAAAGACTTTGTTCCGGTTGGAATTTTGGATATAACTACACCGTACCTTTCCTTGTGTCACCCCATTATCCAAAGTATGTCTCCGAAAACCAATCAAAATTTATCCAACAGAAATGCGTTTGCCGGAACTTATGGTCCGACTATGCATGCATAAATTTGCAGGGTAATGACCCAGAAAAATTGTGGTTAAATGCTGTTCCTGTTTTTACAAGACGTACAAAATGTAATTGGCCATAATTTTGACTTAAACGCCTATTTATCATTGATAGGTTGGTAGTTGACAAATTATCAACCATTACTCTTTGTTTTAGACCTCCGTGGTTTTATTTTGAGTTATGGAAGAGCATTTAAACTCGCTAAAGCTCGCCTTTTGAACCCACCCAAAAGTTAATTTGTTACACTAAAATCACTCTAATTCTTGTCCCCACTCATGTTTCGCCTAAAATTGTGTTATTGTTAACTATTTCGATATTACATCAAATTTGAAAAAATTTGAGAAAAACATGACTGGGGGCAGAAGTTGCAGCGGCTCAAAATCCTTAGCCAAAATTTCTCAAATTTAAAACCTTTGAGATTTTATCATGTAGATTAATTACTGTGATTTACATAAATAGCGTTTCAATACAGATTGGTGTAAGACGTATTAACAAAATTTTGCACTTGATATTTCGAATTCAACGCGTTTTTAAGGTTTCGAAAACTAATAATCGCCAATATTGGACATTAAATTTTACAATTTTTGATGTTAAGTTCTGTTACACATTTATTCGTGATTATGTTAAAATCAGGGACAAATTCTGACAGCGAGGCTCCTCAGCGTAAACTCTCTATGTTGTGTCAAGCATATTTTAAATTTTACAGAATTTACATGCCCAGGCTAAATAGAGCTTGAAACAACTGTACGTTTCAAAAATTGTAGTGAGGAAGCAACACATCAGAACACTCACAATGAGTTATCCAAACTTTGTAAAAATACAAGCACCAATCAAACGATTTTCAAAATTTACCACAGAAAGTTCAATTATATCTAGTGTAAACCCGGGCACCTGCCGGCGCCCCCCAGGGACTTGGCGCCCCGGGCAGCTGCCCGGGTTGCCCGCCCCTAAATCGGGGCCTGCATGTGTGTACAGAAGGTGAGCCTGTTTGCTATTTTTCATGTGTGATTGATGTTTTGCGGGCTTGAATGCCCGATTACCTTTTTATATGCCCCTTTGCCCTTTTTGCCGGAATGAACATTACACAACAGAACTTCCTGAGTTTTGAAAATTTTGGATATCTAAAGCAATGTTCGGGTTAAAGAGAATATTCGGAGCATTTTTTGGAGGGTGACTCCAGCAAAATTGGGTAACGTTTAAAATTTCCGGTTTAATAGGATATACATATGTAAAACTGGGCTTTCTTTGGATTTTGGTCAATTCACTATAAAAATGCTCGAGAGATTAATTAATTAGTGGAGGGTACCTATTAGATCAATTGGTATTTCGCCTCAAATTTAACCCTGTCAATCGACCGACTTCCGGCCGCGTATGTTCGAAGTACGCGGGTTGGGCGTCAAATCGGGGCAAAATTAGACGTGGGGTAATGTGAGACAATGATGGGAATATGCAGAAAGACTGTTGTGGGTGTGTCACAAAAACCTTTCCGTTTGTTTTCACCCCTTTGCTACATTTCGTTTGCAACGGTTTATTCTAACTCGCTGTTTATGTAACAGTTTATAGTTGACCAATGCTTACGAACTCAATTTACTTACAGTGGAGTTCTCCCAACGCATGCTCACATATTTGAATGAAATTAGTGTCAATCGATGACAAATATAATTAGCGCGAAATTTGCAAATGGAACTATCTGCCAATGCGCAGGTTTAGCTGAGCTATTTGCATAAAAAGAGGAGAAAACGCACCAAAAAGCTGGCATATTTTTCATTTTCCAAATTTTCTGCGCATTTTTCCCGCTTTGGATGTAAATATCTTCGCCAAACCTGCGTATTGGCAGATAGTTCCATTTGCAAATTTCATACTAATTATATTTGCGATCGATTGACACGAGTTTGATCCAAATCTGTGAGCATACGTTGGGAGAACTCCATTGTTAGAAATATATTAGCAACTTACTGTGACGTAAAATCCACGAAGCAGTACACAAATCGGAGATTATATGGAAAAAGGAAACGAAATGGGGGAAGGGTAATCCCCCCGTCCTCCGTTGCGCTTAAAATTCCTTCCAGCCCATCCAATTTGAAATCTTTCAATGTTGCTGCTTCCGAAAAAAGTGCAAATTTATATTAAATAAGGTATCATGTATAACATAATGTGTTGCAAGAATTGAAATTTTTTCTAGGACTTACTTCGTAATGTGTGCGGAAGCCCATTTTCACCACGTGATAAATATGGTGAGGGCGAGGATGATAAAAAACTTAATCGACATGTTGCACGATCAAGGTTCGAGGTGATATATCGTAGTTTCCCATGAACGAATAATAACCCCCAAGCCATGATACCATGGCTTGGGGGTTTGATACCATGGTTTGATACCATGGCTACACTTGATCTAGCCGCGAAAATGGTTAAAAAATACGAAAAAGCCTAAATATTTTCACTCGTTACATCCCGCGCTAGAAAAAATCCACCAAAATTGAAAATCCGTACACCATTATGGTGCATCTAGAAAGTATTGAGCATCGGCCAATGTTAATAATACTAAAAGGCAAAATGGCCGACCTCTCCATAAGTAATAACATGTAAAGTTTCGAAATCAATTGCACGGTCAGTTCTTGATGGATTTTCAAGATGGCGCCCGTTTTGGTAACCCTGGACCCTTGGGAAAAATATATATTTTCAGATTTTTCAAATTCGGCCCCACCCCCTTGAGATCTAGGTCACAAGGTCAAAAAACAAGTAACACTTCTTCATCGAATTTGACTGGATTCGACGGACCTGGGGGTAAATTCTTGGGGGCAACGGTCAGGTCATCCTATTAAGCGACTAGTAGGCCCCAACCCCTGCGTTGGTGTCATTGGGGGAGTGGTCAAATGTCAAAACAGCACATTTAATGTAGCAAAAAATTCTCCCACACCGTAGTTTTTGAAATTCAATGTCGCCAATACACGTAGTATTACCAAGGCCCCCTGTGTGAACGACATCACAGTCGTGCATGTGGTTGTTAGCGGAATGCTAACAACCACACCCACAGGGGGTGTGACTTTTAAAATTTTAACTATATCACTGCAATCCCCTTGGCGAGCTGAGAAAATTGATATGTCACGTCACCAGGTTGGAGTAGATTCACTGGATATTGACAGCCACACCCCCAGAGGGTGTGGCATATTTAAATTTGAAATATGCCACTGAAATCTCCTTACCGTCCTGAGAAAAATGATATGTCGCATGGCGTGCATTGGTAAAGTATTGGCAGAAGCGCCGATAACCACACCCCCTGTCGCCATTGGGTCTAGGACAATGGTATGTCGTTCACACAGGGGGCCTTGGTAATACTACGTGTATTGGCGACATTGAATTTCAAAAACTACGGTGTGGGAGAATTTTTTGCTACATTAAATGTGCTGATTTGACATTTGACCACCCCCCCAATGACACCAACGCAGGGGGTGCGGCCTACTAATTGCTGAATAGGATGCCTGACCGTTGCCGCCAAGAATTTACCCCCAGGTCCGTCGAATCCAGTCGTAGAATTTTCAAATTCGATGAAGAAGTGTTACTTGTTTTTTGACCTTGTGACCTAGATCTCGAGGGGGTGGGGCCGAATTTGAAAAATCTGAAAATATATATTTTTCCCAAGGATCCAGGGTTTCCAAAACGGGCGCCATCTTGAAAATCCATCAAGAACTGACCGTGCAATTAATTTCGAAACTTTACATGTTATAGCTTATGGAGAGGTCGGCCATTTCACCTCCCGCTTGCTCAGTACTTTCTGGATGAACGTTAGGATAACTCGGCTCATTCGGCTAATGTAATGTAATTTTGGAATTAGACTAAATACTGCCTTGCCGCAGTGGTGGACGAATTGAGGCTCTCAACTTAACCAGGCCGGTAGTCTTTGCTACCACTTGGGGGAAGAATTGATAATACAGCGTTACCATACTACGGCTGATAGTAACACCTAATCTTACCACATATCCGGTAATACGCGGCATTATGAATTTATTACCGGATTTTTGAGAGTGTATATAATTTTAATACTACTAACCAACGGGTTGAAATCATAGTCTTAATTTATTCATCAAATGAACACAAATAATTAATTTGAAAAACCAACAGTTAATTGATTAGTGAACATTTAATTTTCAATCCCGCCAACTAGTTAGTTTAAGCTAACCGAAACCCCTAAAAATTTATGAAAGGGTACAATAAAATATACGTATTTTGGAGGAGGTTCTCCAAATGTCACATGGTCAGATTTCGATAATATTTGGATCTGTGATAAAAAACAAACTTACCTTGAGAGAAAAAAAATTGCTTAGAGCGATTTGATGCAATATCCCAAGTCGCGCCTGCCCAATGCTAAAGCTGCCGAACTAATGTCGTCAGCATTCAAATTTTCCTCATCAGATTTTTATAACTTTTATATATTCTGGATCAAGAATACACAGAAATGAAAATCCGAGCAAAATTTAAATCTTGGGGCGATATTTATGTATGCCGAATCTTTGCCTTGGGCACTCAGATTTCTGAGTGGGTGTGGCGAACGCAAATGGTCCCATGGCCCCAGCCCTCTTCTTCACATATCTGAAGGGTATCAATATCAGCGACTGTTAGACACATCCCTTAAGGAATTTTGAATCGGAGCACACATTTGCTAATCTAGTGTAGCAATTTGCTACACTAGAGAATGCACCAATGTTGCGAATAGGGCATAGACGCATTCTCCAGCTAATGAAATATGAGGCATGGACATGTGTATTCCAAATAATGAACCAGTACTTATATTTTTACTTAACTTTGACAGTTTATAGCGGATAGTTCAGAAGAACCTTCTCCACCTTCAATCATGTGTATAATAAATCCAGGCCAGGTATATAATAAATCATTTCTTGAAAATATATTCGGGAAAGACAAATTCGGCGCTCAGGCAACGGCATGTTTGATGGATATATACAATAGTGGACGAGTAATCCTTGGCTAAAATTAATCAACTTCCTCGCTCAATGTCAACAATCTTACATAATTTCGACGTTGGATTTTCTATTCTTAGGCAGTGTGTTTAGACTAAAAGACTGGGTAATAATTCTGTATCCAATTGGTGCCCTTCAGAATATGTAGTAAATTGGCAAAAATTATTTTACCTTATTTCATTATTCAAATTATATCTATTTTTCCTTTTAAATTTCAATTGTCTATAATACATAAAAGCATTATACTTACACATTTACGTATGTATGTACCCAATTAAAAAATTTGTACCAAATATAGCATAAATAATGAAATTTTTATCCGCCTATATGCACCTCCTGTTCAAACATGTATTGTGCAAATACCGTACATAGATAAATTTATGTAAATTTATGTATAATTCATGTATCTAATTAGAAAAATAACAACCGCTTACATATGTCCCGCAGGGTAAATAAATATTTGTAAGCAGTGTAATATATGGAATGCATAACTAAGATTACAATTTTTGCCAAAACAATTGTTATATTGCGTGCGCAAAGATAATTTAAGCAGGATATGAATTCTAGCTAGCGGGCATACATATACATATTTGTAAATTTATTCTGTATTTCAGCATATTCTACATAAATATTTGAACATTGAGTATGACGATGCGAGTTATTTTATCCATATACCTAACTTAATGTATAATTTTAGTATATAATTATTTAAAGATTTTCATATTACTAGCAAGTTTCTAATCAACCTCATTTTTGTAAATGGTCACAATCACATTTAAATTAATTACTTAACAGTAAACTAACGGTAAAATTAACTTACATTTAAATTTCAATCTATTCATCTTCACCCACTTTTCTACCACAAAGACAAAACTAGCCAGCAAAGCTATCGCCCCGCAAAGAATAAATAACGTTAAAATTGTCCCGTCTAATTTAAATGCTTCAATTAATTTACTCTGCTCAATCTTCATCACAGGTTCACGATGCACGTATTCCTGGCGTAATTCCTCTCCCCGTAACCGACGATAGATTCCTGACTCAAACAAATATTTGAAATATTTCGGTACATTTGAAATACCAGCTTGATAAAAGTACCAATTGTACGGGATGCTGCCCAGAGTTTCTTTTCCTTTATAAAACTTTCGTGTTGCATAATGTCTCGTCAAAAATTGTAATTCTGCCTCGATAAGATCAGATTGTTTGAGGAGAACCGACTTTCCACAATTAATCAACTCTTCTTCCAAGTTATTTCGCACCTGGATAAAAGTCTGATTGGGGTTTGAATAATACTTGAAACCTTTCGGATGATGTGTGTGTACCGGATCTAATAAGCTTAATATCTGAAGGGTGCTATTGGTGAAAATTTGCGACTGCATCTCCGCATAGACCCCCCTCATTAAGGCTAAATTTAAATAGTTTAAAAATTCTGGGAATTTGGCGAATCCAGAAACATACTCAGATGTTAGCGACAGCATGTGAAAACATTCATCTGAGGCGAACGGGTTTTTAAATTCGTGTCCTGGGGAGTATTCCGCTCTCACGTGTGTATTATTCAAATAACTCTGGTCTAAATAATTTAGCACATCATTGTGCCACAAGATTCGTTCGTATCCATGACCAGAACTTGGGGGCTCTGGATAACGCATTAGGTTGTATTTGTCTTCCTTTGGCTTGCTAGTTTTTTGCACAAAATTCGGCATATCAGTAGCAGCAACTCTCTCACAAAGCAGGTCATCAAACAAAAAAATACGACGCGCGCCGAGTGGTGAGTTAAGTTCTGATATCATAATTCCATTATAGCAATTTGTAAGAATCACGGATACTAAACACCATGCCCCCAGAATTTTACGAAAGAACGAATTTCCTCCAATATTTTCGGGTAGGTGGCCCGCTTCTTCAAATATTGTAGCTAAGATAAATAACCACGGCGGGAAAGAGATGTTTCTTAATTCCCCATAATATTTGTACGCTGTCGTAATCACTATAATTGTGACAAGAGAAATGGCGAGCCATACCCACACTGCTTGTTCGAATGGTGTAACGTACAATTGAAATGTTATATACTCGTTACGATAGCAGGTTAAATATTCGTACCCAAAACTCTCCGTATTGACAGCCACCACGGCGCCTGATGTTTCTGAAATGGTGGATGAGTCGAGTAACTTTGGAAATATCTTGGCACAAAAACTGCCCACGTAAAGTGTTTCATTTGTTGTTAGAGATAATATTTCCAAAATATACGCAACATGAAATATCCCTGTTGAGCTGAGAGGATTTTTTGAAGTTTTTCCTCTCGCAGGATATTTAGAACCTTGTCGGAGTTTTCCTACGTTATCCGAGTAACACCAACCGGGGGAAGGTACCGGAATGTTCTGGACAATTTGAAAGGGATTCCCAATGTTAATTATGACACGACAACTCAAGTTTTCATGGAGATAATAGTGCATCCGAGAATACTCACGCGAAAACCAGGCACAAATCTCCTTATACTCGGCGGATAACACAAGTACGGCAATTGTATAAAAATCATCCACTGGAAAGTAAATATTTGCAAATCTTTCCCTATTTTCCAACGTGCTTACGTACGTCACAATCGTATTTTGTTCTTGCGTCGTGAAACGGAAATCAGAGTAAATGAAGTGACAATTCATAGCTTTATAAATCCAGTTATCTAATTTAATCATATTTTCACCACCGATATCTTCGGAAATACCGAAATTTGAGAGGATGATTGCAACCTTGCAGGTTGAACGGACTCTGAATTGTGATATGTCAATTTTCATTGAAGAACAAATTTTAGTAAATTCTTTACTGTACATATTTTCCTTATCTTTTCCCATGTTAATGATTTTCGCAGGAAGAAAAATGCTGAACCAATCAACATCAATGGTTGGTTCATCATGAAGTACTTGAACATCACAAGTATCTAAATTGCCCAGCAAGATTTCAAATACTGGTAGAACTTCAGAACAATTTATGGGTTGAGATTGAAGTAAATAAAGTAAAAAAATCGGTGAAAGACGTAATGTTTTTGCCATCTCGATTAACCTCCGTTTAACAGATATTACATAAACATGTCTAATAAATTTTTCGTGAGTGACTGAGTTAAATAATTGGCAATGATGCACAGCTGAATGAAGTCAACAAAACAATTTGAAAACGTGTCGTTCGATTTCGTTGGTTGAACAATGGAGATTTTTAGAATATCTCTACGAAAATTATTATACCAACGGTTACACAGATAACATATTTGTCAGTATGCAAGTTTGACTGACGTGGTTTATCTTAAGCTGTTGACATTTTTAATTGTTCCCCAAGGACTGTGTTCTAAGTCAACTACGAATTATACATACGAGATGTTTTGTTTTGAAATCTCCTTCTAGCTTTCAGGAGACTGAAATAGAAAAATTTATGTCCGCTTCAGCCATCCAAGCAGCACGAAAGTTTTGTGTTTTGCACTAATTCTTGATTCGTAAGTAAACCGTATTTATTCTTTAGTGAACTAGGTAGGATGTGTACTGGACTATATGAATTTGTGAGTTAATGAAGAAAGAATCTAATCATAACGTAAAATAATTGTGCACAGGATGTCTGTAAATTATATGTGGATAATTGTTGTTTCTGGAAAAACTGATGTCTCTTACATATATGCCTCAGATTTAATACATATTTATGTATTCATGTCTAGGGAGTATTTAAATTACAATTTATGCCAAGCTAAAATTTCAATAGGCTGCGTGCGCAAAGCAAATTATAATAAAATATGAATTCCACGTAGCATAAATATTTTAGTGTAATTCCACCAATACACATATGTATAACCATATGTTTTTACAAATTTGTCACCCGTGATTAACATTTCTTCGTATTATCTCGGTTCGATTGCTTCGATTAAACTTGGCTTTTCTATCTCTTATCACTTTGATTGTATACAAATTCAGCATTCTTTAAGAGCGCGTGGCTGGCAGAAATATACTCAAGGATTTTAACTCCGCTTCCAATTTCCTACACTGATACAGAGTGCAGGAAATACGGAGTATATACATGATGCGGAGTGTATAATAATAATAATAATTGATTTATTGCGTCATTGAACATTCATGAACGATTAAATATTATTGATAATCATGAAATCGAAAAAATATCTAGATAAAATTAATTATTAGTCGGAACATATTCAAATATATTCATAGGTCAAAATATTTAGCAACTTTGTGCCAAAAAAGAAATAGGTTATTCACTGGTACATCTATTCCTGAGATTACTAATCTTGCACCAAATTTCTACTTTTTTTTATTTTTTTTTTTACTAAACTTCATGTTTCATAACAGTGTGACGGTCTTTAATTATTGTAATTTGACATTGGCACGCTAGGCCACTGCTCAAAAACTTCGAAACACGTGCATAAATAATTGTCCATGCCAATTTGTTTCTAATGGACACCGGGGCCCGTCCCCCTTCGCTGCCCGGCCCTTGGGAAAGCGCCCCCTGGCAGCCCCTCGTAGGAGCACTGTCTCGTAACATTTAGTTCATACCCTAGTTGATAATTATGTAAATTAAAGACACAGCGGCACATTATTTACTTACAAGGGACACTCACGACCTGTCGTTTGAGTCCAGGGTACCCACTATGTTTTTCAGAATCTACTAGGACCCCAAATGAAGGATCCATTCATATTTCCGTGTAAAACTCATATTTGGCGCCATGGCGTGGCGCCAAACTTAAAAATTTGCATTTTCGACCAATTTCAAACCCCCATAACTTTCGCAGTTTATGTCGGATTTTTAAAATTTTATGCTTAAAATGATCAGAAAAGTCGAAATTTTAGAGAAAAAAATGAAAATAAAAAAATTTCAATTTTTGAGATATTTTTAGCATTTTTTCGACGAACCCGAAATTTCGAAATTTTGCGAAAAGTTAAAAGCGATAATTTTGGAAAAAATTTCATAGAATACGAAAGTTGAACTCCTTGTCATGATTTTTTCCAAAAATTTTGAAAATCCGTCCAGGATTTCAAAAGTTACGGCGGTTTTAAAATGAGAAACCATCAAATTTGGCGAATTTGGCGCCACGCCATGGCGCCAAATATGAGTTTTACACGGAAATATGAATGAATCCTTCATCTGGGGTCCTACTAGATTCTAAAAAACATAGTGGGTACCCTGGACTCAAACGACAGGTCGTGAGTGTCCCTTGTTAGACTGACAGGCTTACGTTATTGACAGAATTGTATACTTTATCACATCCCGGTCCTGCCTTCTGAACGAGATAAAATTCGACTTTATTTTGCGTTTGCCCTGGTTCAGTTTTTCAACTCACAATGGAGGTCTCCCAACGTATGCTCACAGAATTGGACGAAATTAGTGTCAATCGATCACAAATACAATTAGTATGAAATTTGCAAATGGAACTATCTGCCAATGCGCAGGTTTGGCGGAGATATTTGCATCCAAAGCGGGAAACATGCGCAGCAAATTTGGAAAATGAAAAATATGCCAGCCTTTTGGCGCGTTTTCTCCTCTTTTTATGCAAATATCTCCGCCAAACCTGCGTATTGGCAGATAGTTCCATTTGCAAATTTCATACTAATTGTATTTGTGATCGATTGACACTAATTTCGTCCAATTCTGTGAGCATACGTTGGGAGACCTCCATTGTTAGTGCTTGCACAATTTACCTGGATAAATCTCGTGGAATTGCACATCACCAATTACATTTTCAATTACAAATTCCAATTACATTTGTTGAATGAAGTACTTGAAATTAAAATCTAAATTATGAAATAATCCGTAATTGTAATTGTACATGTCAATTACTACTTACTTACAAGTGTTAGACCACGAATGTAGTAGGGGGATGGGGTTTGACGTTATAATCGACGCTAATTAAACCTATAATTAGTAATAAATCCGAGCAATTTCTCGTAAAACGACATT